CGATATGCCAAGTTGGTCGTCGGCGAGTGTTCAGCGCATCGTTTGTAAACGATGGTCTCGTTGCGTTCAGCAAACGGTGGAAAACGAACGACGCGCTCGGCCCGGACTATTTTCCACCTACTTTCCCGTATTATGCAAGCGCGTGAACGAACGAGCGAACGAGCGAGCGAGCGAGCGAGCGGACGGGCGGTTTCAGCGTGCCGCAATTTGCGCAATAAACCGCACCGGTGACGATGTCATCGAACACACACCACCGGCTACCGTCGTCGAGCGACGTGCACATTGCGTGCACGTGTCGGGAAGGGTAAACGCGTGGTCGCGCGCGTGACTCCGCGCCGCCGAGGCGTTCCCTTCTCTCCGATCACGTGGAATATAACGCGGTTGAAACATTCTCTCCCCGCGTCTCCGCACACACCTCGCGCTCCTTCGCGCGTTTTTTTCCCCCCTTTCCTCACCTCTCCTCACCTTGTCCGTTTTCTTCACCGTCGTCCTTCTTCTCTCGTCCATTCTCGCCACACACAAGAGATCCGCGGTGCTCTCCGCTCTGTTGCACCGTCACGACTCTCCGTGCCTCCTTTCCGTCACGCTGTTCCCAGCGACTTCCAACCACGCGGTTGGACCACGCATAGCAACGCGCACAGACAACACACACATATACAAAGGCCGACAATGTCGCAAAGCGGCACTGGAGCCGGAGAGAGAAAGCCGAGACGGAACTTGATAATTTCCCCACTGATAATCCCTCTTTTCCTCTATGAAATCTATTTCCGACGGGAATATATGGGAAGAGGTTGGCAAATTGCTTTTATCGATTTCTCTCAGTGAGAAATGTGATTCTTTCATTCTTTTCTCTACGGAACAATTGTAACAATCGTGAAGTTTTTTTTTTTTTTTTTTTTATCTAGCGTTTTTTTCTCGCGGACGGAGAAAGAGTGGTTGAATATCGTGCGAACGAGCGCGACGCTTCTTCCTGGAAAGATCGTCGCGATAGATGCGCGCTGCGCGCGAGGCATATCGTGACGGCATAATTAGCAACGATTACCGCAATTAACAACGATAATAGTCGCAATACAATTAAGAGCAAAATATATATAAGCGCGGAACGCAAATGGCACAGTCACTTATCAAATAACAGATAAGTGCAACGCTCACCTTCCTCGTCAGGTCGATGCACAGACTTTTTTTCTTGTACAATTTTTATAAAAGATGTAAAAATATACACGTTTACGCTCTTCTCGTTCGAATTTTTCACAAGAAGCACCGCTTCGATAACGTAATTCCACGTAAAAGTTCCCCAAAACGTTACTTTTGTCAAACAATGTTTCGCGTTTTCTAAATTTTACACGCATCCGCGATAAAGATAAGCGAAATGGAACAATAGTGCCATTGACAATTATCGCGTCGCGACATAATCGTAAAAGGAGTCAAACGATAATAGCCGCCGCCGTGACCACATAAAAAAAAAAAAAAACTGTCACCAGACTAGCGCACTTCCGTCCCAAATACGCGTCTCGAGTACAAGATCCGGTTTATACGTGACAACTCACTCGAAAGTAGGCACGACCGCTGCGATTATACATAGGTGATATACTTTCTGGTTTATTTATTTGTCAGTAGTGTAAGCACGTTTACGCGATGTTGAAAACCTTTCTCGTAATTTCCACACAAGTGGTGGAATTGTAAAATTATCAAATGTCGTTTTTCGTTCAATATTTTTGTCAAATTTTCGCAAATAAAAAAATATGTTATTTACAATTTAAATACGCAACTTTTTTTTTTATTTTATTAAAAATTCGATTTTTTCTATTTTTCTATGTTAAATAATTTGAAAATAAATATATAACACACGCACACGCACACGCACACTCGTTGTTTACAGAGATCAATGTTGCAAGTTGCATTCGCTCTTTGGAAGTCACAAAGATTAATTTCTTCACGAGGAAAACTATTCTGCGCGTCATCGTAAATAACCGATAATGGCACTATTGCCACTGCGCGTTGTAACACGTACCGTAAAATTAGATATTTGCTTCATCGCACACAATGATGCGCGCGTCAAAAGGTCAGAGGGAACAGAGAGTTCGAACCCTTTTCAGAAATGTCAATTTGTATTGTACAAGCTTGTTCGCACATAGCTCGCGGTATATTCATGGAGATGACCTTTTTTTATGTGTGACAGTTTGATATATATTGTTTTTATTTTACATCACTTGTTTAAAAAATAAAACAATGAAATCGATGAGTACGCGGTATCTTTTTTCAAAAAGCTTGGATTTTCATCGTATTGCCGAATTTCTTTTTTATCTGAAATTTCTCGGCGGCGTTTTTCAGCCGACGTTGCGATTTTTTATATTCTGCACTTCTTTGAACAACTTCAGCTCGGGACAGAAACGAAGCCGATGCGCGTTCCAAGAATAACAACGCATTAACGTCTCGAGCACGAGCGCATCCGTGTCTTCTCTCTCTCTCTCTCTCTGCCAATGTCGACGTAATCGGCTTCTTATCGGCTCGCGTATAAATTTCTTTTCGTGGTGTCCGGCAATCACGTTCGCGCCGAAACGTGCCGCGCGCACGTTCCTCACGAACGTGAAGCGTCGAGCACAACAAACGGTCTGATAAGCCGAACTTATATAGCGGAAACGTGCGAGTTTCCGATATGGATAATATCGATCACGATTGTTTTCGATTTCGGCGCTGAAGGTCGATCGCGCGGCGCGACTCGACGCTCGAAAACGTGACATCGGTCGCGTCTTTTTCTCGTGGATCGGTTAATTGTATCAAATCATGTTGGGAACCGGTTGACACGTTCGCGCGCATACCACCCGAGTACGTTGACACGTATGTGCACGTTGCGGACGTGAACAACCGTCGATACCGCGTTCAGCCGCGACACGTGCATCGATTCCGCGAAACTAAATATCTCCTCTGCCATAAATAAATTTCCCGAGTTATCAAACTATTGATTAAACGCAAACGCTATATCGGGTTCGGTATTGATTTTGATGTTGCACGAGCGACGATAAAGTGTTATTTACTGTATAAACAGAAAAATCTTGAATAAACGTCTTTCGCAACAGATGCTTAATTTTAATCTTCGACGTTTAATTAATAACAGGCAAACTTGAAACTTGCGATGTTACATTTTTCGAAGAAATTTTTCGACGCGCAAAATAATCGACTTGTGGGAGGCGGCGTAGTAAAATCGTATTTTTTTTTTCTCCAGAGTTTTAAGTTTATCGCAAGTTCAGAGAAAACGCGATAATGCTCTCGCATTTGACGCAAAAAAAAAAAAAGTTTATTTTCGCTCGATAAAACGAGACGTTCTGGATAAGACGACCGATCGGACCGGCGAGTGTTATCGCAATTCTACGCAACTCGCGCGTAATCGCCGAACAATTTTTCAGGGAGGTGTCATCGCGCGCATATTGGAAAAGAACGCGCGGGAGCGCGTGCATGATTGAGAGAGGCCGGCCGATCGTCCGCGGCTTTGTTTACGTCTCGGCGTGCGTGACGGCCGAGAACCGCCGTCGCTATCGTCACGAAAAACCGGTTCGCCGTTGGATTTAGTCGGTTTCGATATCAGCTGCCGCTGGGAGAGTTCAAGAAGGCGCGATTAACTCGTACGCGCGGTCGCCGCGCTCGCTCGCCGAGCCATTCGTGGCAGCCAGTTTGAACGAGGCTTCTCCGTCGTTTTTTTTTTTCTTTCTCTCGCGATTCGCGCGCGCACGTGACGGCGCGATAAGGAAAACGCTTGTTTGTTGCAGCAAACGAATATCCGTGCCCGAATAAAACACTTCTATTCTACGCGCGATTATTCTCGTTTCAATTAGAATAGTTTTGTCTAGAGAGACGCGCTGTGTCTTATCGCTTTTTCTATTCTCGTCTACTCAAAGAGAGAAGTCTTTTGCTATCGGGCAAAACTGAAACAAAATTTATATAAAATATTAATTCGATATTTTTTTTTTTTTTTTAACATTACGTCGCGCGATTTCTCTCGAAGACCGAGAGGAACGTTTTTCGTCTCATTTTCCGCTTCCAGTTTGTCACACATTTTGCATACTCTGCGACTTGTAAATTTCATTACAAGAAAATCATCGAAGAACGTATAAAAAGGAAGCGGGCTAAAAATGAGAAATAACGCAGTGTATGTTAGAAAATTAGATTATTTTATACATTATTTTTAATGTGATGTGTGTGTGTGTGTGCGCGTGCGCGCGCATAGTAGTCTTAATTTATAACACATTAAAACTAATATATATATATATATATATATTTGAGAATATCCCTAAGAACATTTTAGTTCAGGGACAAATCGATTTCAATTTGTTGTTAGGGGAAGAGCGAAAAAAACCAAGAGCAACAACGGCAAATGACTCGCCTTCACTCGTGTTTGTAATAAATGTATAGGTTTTATTCTTGAGCGCTCTCTCTCTCTTTCTCTCTATCGTCGTGTATACTCAATGTATAATTACTTAACTAATTAAATACAAGTATCCTTATTTTCTTACATCTCTTCTTCTCACGCGTCGATACAACGCGAGACACATTTCTGTACACGAAATTGTAGAGCATCCTGCATAAAAAACAAAATTAAATTTGTTTTATATGCTTATAGAGAATACACGATTAAATAGGATCGGAGGTTTTCGCTGAACGTGTTGTGAACTGTGGTATACGCTTCGAATTCCTCGTACACGACTTGAAATTATGCGAGTGTGGAACTTAATCTCCCTTATCAGACTCTTTCGTAACAAGATTTACAATTAATATTTGTTTTCATTACTTGCATCAAAACAGCATTATTCTTAAAGCTCCTAGATACCCGTTGCGGCAGCCATCTTGGATGATAACGTCAGAGAAGAGGCGAGAAAATAAATTATTTGCATTTTTCAATCTCGTTGAATTTTCTCGCGTAAATCTATTTGTACTCGATGAAAGAGAGAAAGAGAAACCGCGCGCACATCGGATCTTCTCTCTTGAGTAAAAGTAAATTTTACTTGTTTTTTTTTTCCTTTTTTTTTATATAAAAAATCTTAATTTATTGATTGCAAATTACAGCAATTTTAGGCGTACATTTTCTCGTTTTCCGACGTCGTTATCCAACAGAAGCTGCGACGATTCAGTCTCCAGGAGTCTCGATATTTTTATAAATAGACCATGCACACGAAAGTATTACTAGAATCGAGACTATGTAGGCACGATTTTCCTCATGTCACACATAGGGTATGTGTGTGTTGACTTTGAACGTTCACACGCTTTGAGCGTCAGTCTTTTTGTCGCTCTTCAAATGTCAAAACAAAGATGATCGGGCTGATGCTCAAAAGCGCGCGCGAGTTTCGTCCAAATGGAAACCCATAGTGTGTATAGGCGGCACATTCCATTCTCGATTTTTTACAAAAAACAAAACAAAATTAAGATTTTTACAAAGAAATATTAGTACATTACGAGTGTTTAACTGTATCAGAAATTTCTGATAACATTTCTAATCATGATTTTACCTAAGTCAAAAATGTACAATTTTGAGAAAAATTCATCATAAAATTTATTCTAAATGATCGCTTACTGTATAAGACTTTTTAAAACTCCCGAACGAAATATTCGGCGTGGTTGTTGTTTGTTTCGGGACAACAATGAGAGTCCATTTGCGTATATTTTACATATGCAGCAAGATAGACGATTGTTTTGAAAGTATAAGCAAGTAAATCGTTCTTTGAAAAAGCCCTCATAGGCATAGGTCAACATGTTTGTTCGTTTTTCTATTCGAGAGTTGTGAGTGAAATCATCGAATTGATCGGAAAGAGAATCTGTCCTCGAACCTTGATGCCAGACACCAGTCCCTCACTCACAAAAGCATTTGTTTTTTAACTTCGCAGAGACATTCAAACGACTTTACGTTCTTACGTTGGTAACGCTCAATCACGGTCACCCCTCTCTTCCGCTCTTTCCTCCGCTCTGGCTTTCATTCTCGTGATAAACGCCTGACCTTTGTTCTTCCGGAACGTCTCGTACGGATCGTTCAAGTTGATGCCAACTCCCTTATATTGATCGTTTTTGTCGCGAATCTCGCCTCCGGAAATGGGTGCTTCTATGCCTTGTTCATTCGCGCCGAGACCGGCACCGCCCCAGCCCATCTTCTTGAGTAACTGATGTCCTTTGTTGCTCTCGTCGAGACTGATTTCTTGCGGCGCTTTGCTATAAGTAGAACCCCTAAAAAGAAAGAACCAATACACGTTTACAACATGTAAAAAGTGAAGAGTCAAGAAAATAATATAATTAAAAATAAACATTTAAAAAAAATTACTTTTTAAATGTTGAAATGATTAATTGCAACACAAATCTGATAAAAGCTGCTATTGTTGCTTACAAAAAACTTGGCGGGGTTGGACTCCTATCCTGCCTGTCTATTCTTCTATCGGGACTGCGATCTTTGTTGCTGTTTCTTCTTCTTCGGCTTCGACTGATGTGATTGCTATTGCGACTGTTGCGTCTGTGATTGGTCGGCGATCTCGATCTACTTCTGCCCCGAGATCGCGAGCGCGATTTGCTGCGCGACTTGCTTCTGTAACGTTTCTTTGGTGGACTAGGGCTCTTCGATCTCGGTCGGAGAATCGGCGATGGGGATTTAGATCGTTGTCTAATTCCAGCTGCTATGTCCTCCTCCTTATGCTTGCGAGCTGCATTTTTTGCTTTGTAATATTCGTATAATCCTAATTTTTCCCATCCATCACTAAAAATTAATTAAGATTCACAATTATGTGTAAATGCGCGTGTGTAAACCTAACCTAACCTACACAAAGATTCCTACCTATCTCTGGGAGAGTCATGATTTGGCGGTGCATAAAATGCCTCCACAGCTGCGACCAAACGATCGCTCGGTGGCGCAGGAGGTGGTAGTCTTATCGCTTCTGGATCCAACGGTTTGTATTCGCCATCCTCCAATTTTATCAGAGGTACCATCAAACCAGCCGGAAGCTCGTAGTAAGGCATACTGGGCATTAAATCCTCGACGGAAGGTTCGTGAATAACTGGGGGAGGTCCAAAACCGGGCGGTGGTTTCGAAAAGTCCGGTAAAGGAACGTTAGTAAACGGTGGCGGTTCGTTCGATGGCGGGACACCCCATCCGGGAGGTGGTTGACTGAAATTTACATCCGTGCCTATCGCACCGGGAGGACCAGAATGACTAGGTGGCATCGACATGTTTTGCTGATTCTGTACGAATAAAATTTTACGTTAATTTTTTTGTTAGTAAGAATTAACATTACATTTCGATTAAAAAAATAATACTACTACTATTTGAGGTGGCGGCGGCGGCGGCGGCGGAGCTTTCAATTGTTGATCTATAGCTATCTTTTGTTGCTCAATATTCTGGATCTGTCTCAGTGCGTGATTGACGAACGCTTGATGTTGAGCCTGATAATTATCGAATGTTTGTTTTGTCGAGGTAGTGATAGGAGTAATTGCGGTAGCGTGTTGCGCTACGAGATTAGCTTGATATTCCGACCAGGATGTGCTCGGTTGTTTCAACTTGTCTATGATACCCTCATCAAAATAATTATTCTTCGATTCCCACAGACTTAACAGTTTATTCAGCTTGGTAACCTGCTCTTCAGATGCTGCTAGTGAGGTGTTACAGAACATGGGAACTACAACACTTTCCATTGCCTTGCGAAGATCCATAGACTTTTTTCTCGCACTGTAGAAGTTTCCAATTAAGTATCGAGAAATATATCGATAACGATATTTGATTTCATCACGTATCATTTAATATAGATCTTATCATAAAATTGTAGATATAAAACATACAAGTGGTAGTAAAAGCAAGCAGAAAAGTTATATAGAAGCGCTTGAAGATACGTTGAAACGTTTTTAGGAACAAGTGAAGAGAAAGAACGCTAGAATTCTGAAATATTGGAATTATTTCAGAAATTCGTTTATAAACATATAAAAACAAACACAATTTTATTTTATTTTTTTTTTTTTTTTTGTGTACGATCCTTGCAATTAGAGTGCGTGTGCGTGCATTTATATATTTATACTAACCAGTGATGTAAGACGTCATTCACTAGATAGATAATGTGTAATTTATGACTAAAGGTTGTTCCCTGAATTACTCTGAAACAAAAATACAAGCAAAATTGAATATGTTGTATATGAAACATATGTGTATTTATACGTATACGTATATAAATTTATATTACATTTATATACATACTTTTTTAACAAATGATCAGCAACAACTTGATTACTCTGCGGAGTAAGCGAGTTCTGAAGTATCCAGGCCTTTCCCGCGCTTATACTGTCCTTCGTGCAGCTATCGATGATCGGTTGTAGCACTGTGTCAAATGCAGCAAGATCTGTATTTGTGCTTTGCGCGCTATTCTGTAGTGCCTGTTCTTGCGCCTGCCTCACGGCATCCTCTACTCTCCCCTGCTGTTGCGCCATCAATGCAGCGTGCTGCGCAGCAAGATTTTGTTCCGATTGTCTAACTTGTTCCTGCAACGTCGTCTGCTGCGATTGAAGATTCGCCAGTTCGTTTTGTAGCCACGCGGGCGGACCCGCGATGTTAACCGTCTGCGCGACACCGGCAATCGGCGGCGGATTCACACCTCCCATGGCGCCAGGAACAGATCCAATCGGCGGTCCTGCGTTTCCCGGCCCTCCCATCTGTCCAGATAAAACGGGACCGCTCTGGCTTCCGACTTGGGGCCCGAGCCCGACCACTGGATTTATGCCATTGTTTTGCGCGCTCAGACCAGACGCGAGATTGACGTTAGTCAGTGGCTGCGAGACGGCGCTTGCGGCTGTTTGCTGCTGCTGCGAAACGTTTAAACGTGGGTCTGCATTTTGCATTGGATTTATTCCTTTTTGCTTTAAAACTGTAAACGAATGACGGTGGATTATTGTAAGATGCCTGAGTCCATTTGTCAATTGATATTTGAAAAATGTGTATATAAATAGTCCAATCGGTTTTTTTTTTTTTTTTTTTTTTCTGCTGATTCTTAGCTTGTACTGGCGCGTATAAGAAAATTCTTGAGCAAGACAAGTATAGAGTATGGGAAAACTCGGCAAGTTTTTTTTTTGAGAGTACTATACTCTTTTTTCCTTTTTTTTTTACATACTTTGAGGTACTAGGGTATTACAGGATATGCTATTTTTGGTTGCATTTCCCACGCGGATTGAAGAGATATATCGACAACGTACTCCATATTAGATACGCTCCAGCAAGAATCTTAAAACTACATCTTCTCAAAATCGCCATTGCCAAGGAATACAAGATGTCTTTAGTGCAAAAGCGTTCTGCTTAACAAATAGCAATCCCAAAATCTTGAAAGGAAGATTGTTGCTATTCGACGATTAATATGACGGACAATATGACAGATTTGTACATTCGCAATGATGGAATCAGACCCTGTATCACTTTTTTTTTTTTTCAAAGTCATTCCTTTTGTTCGTTGTACAAAACATGCCCTTTTCTATGTCCTTCTCAATCACTGTAGCTGCTAAGGGGATATGTCCCACTTACTGGCTTGTTCGGTAGTCACTTTGTACTGATAGTAGTTGAAGTGCTCCCCTCCAAACAGGAAACCAAACTTGGGGTTGTCCTTCTGCTTGTTTTTTGTCATCTGCTCGAACTCTGGCCCATTGCGAGCAACAAACTGTGCCAGTTTGTCTATGATGTTCCGTAATTCAGTATCTAGATGTTATAAAATGAAAAAAAAAAGCAAGAATCAGATCCAGAAATATGTGAAGGATTAACATTTTTGAAAAAAGCAATTTAGAGTATAATGCAGTAATAGTAGTAATATGTGTAAATATATAGAATCAAGTTTTTGTGTTTTCTTACTCTGTTCCTAAAGAAAGTCAGTGATGCACAAAAACTCTCAGCTGAGTAAAATATAAGTAAATCATTAATAAAGTGGATATAATTGTTAGAACATGAGAAAAACGAACATAGGCATATCATAAACAATTATTGTTAAATGACATGTACGAAGTCCGTTATTTAAAAGATGCACACTTATTCAAACAATAACTTTTGCATTTAAATGTGCTCATTTGCAATTTTTCAATCTCAAACACATGCCTCATACATAATTCTACACAAGTAGTCATATATATCTAGAAAAACTCTAGACACTAATTATTAAAACGCATTATTTTCACGAACGGATTGCATAGATCGAATGTAACATCGCGAACAAAATGTTTGAAAATCTGAGATTTGAAGTGAAAAATTCTGTTCTTTTTTTTTGTGGTTAGTAGCAAAATAAAACTACAATGTTAATATCTAGTGTGGAAACGCGCAAAAGCGGGGGGTGATGATAAAGGGACGAAAGGAAATGCACGGGAGAGGGAGCGCTGAAGCCGGATTGCCGACGTCGAGGCAGCGTGCTCACCTGCCGGGGCCTGGTCCATCCTGACGACCGTTCGAAATTACCGAAATCCGATCAAAATCGTCTGTGAAAACGCTATATGCTCACTCGTTTGGTCGTCGGTTTGTGCGTGAACAAAATGCAATTTCGAGAACCATTTACACTGCATTACACACACTCGCCAGGAACCCGACACATGCTAAATGTCGCCATTACGATTTGGCGGCGGCCGACAATGCTGCCAACGCGCCGATTGTACGCGCAGAAGAGAAGACCGACAACGAAGAGCTGCCAGGCCCATAAGAGAATATGTAATCGCTTTTCCGCTCTATAAGCCAGCGCAATGTTCATGGATGGCGCATGTTGACAACTATACGTAGTCATGCCCGCGAACGACTTGTCGGTACGCACGTTATGTCAAACGTGGACGTGGTTCTATTCGGTGCTATGTTCACTCACAACGTAAATAATAAGAAAAATGGCCAATCACAGAAGATTAATCGATTGTGACAGATCAATTTCTTACGACTTACAACTTACGATTCTATTGTAGATCAGGCCTAACCGAATCGATTTCTGTTGAGAGCCAATGGGAGCGCGAGTTCGATAGAAATTTTTCATGGGGAATTTTGTTTGTTTCTGAGAAAAACAATTATCCGATTGGAGTTTTGCTTGCTCGCAAAACTATTGGGTGTCAGATTTATCACTGCTTTGGTGATTTTTGTGTTGTCAAGTTTTTGAGAATGACATGTAACTGATTCCACCATTTTGACAGATTCTCCATATGGACGCGTAGACGTTTGATCCAGTGTGAAGAATTTGTGATAGAAGTGGAATCGAAGAAATAGGGTATTATCTTGCATCTTTTTCATTCGTTCGATCATTTGTGTGTTTATATAAATTGTAAAAATATTTTTCCTTAGTACGAACTATTATTCAGACAAGTGAGTTAATTAAAAACTTCAATTTTTAGAAGCAAATTTATTGCGGTACGTTATAGGTTAGTCGGTGCACACACGTAACTATACTTAAACATGCTTATTTTTTATGATTTATAAAACTAGCTTACATGTTGTTTTTAAAGTAAGCCATTTTAAGCCAAAGTGCAAACTTTCAAATCAAAATCCATGGCTTTTTTGCTCTCTTAAAAGCTTTATCTAAATTTATATTATGTTAAGTAAGACATTGATAAAATAGTTTTAACATTTTTGTAAGAACAAAGTAAAATATTGTATAATTTTGTATCTAATTTGTTTCAGCATTTGTGTACAATTTTCTGGCTCTAATATAACATTTTGTTTCTTATAAAAAATATAAGATGACTGATACTGACAATACTGTAATGGGTTAAGTATAATAAATGTTTATCTAAATATATTTATACATAAATGTCAGTGACATATGTATATTATATATACATATTTTCTCCGCACAACAT